GAAACAGCTTAAGGTTGTTGATAAAAACGAAATAGTCCTTTGCTCGTTCACTTCAAATAATCTTACTTGAACTTAGGAAATCTTATTTGCTATAAAAGACTTCATCCTAAAGGCAAGTCAATAAAAAATAGGCGAGATAGGTTGGTAGGACACCTTCTCAGGCATGAAGGTTTAGTCAGAGACATCTCAAAAACTACTCGCAAGCTAGTTGCCGATGGATCAATAGTTTCTTGCTTTTTTCGTCCGGACTTAATGTTTCATGCAGTAAAAAAAGGCATTTTTTAATATTTATTTATAAAAGTTTTTGCAATAACTTTTTTGTTTAGAAAGCAATTTTAATTAATCACATTTGATTTTTTAGGTATTTTTAAGGCATATTTCTACTATGGTATATTTTATAATTTTATCACAATATTTAAGAAACTAAAACAATTTGATTTTTTGAGCTAATTGTTAATACAAAATATTTCGGTATTTCCCCTACTTAATTCTGCTATAAAACAAAGCGGTTTCAAAATGGGCTTTCCTAAAATCAAAAACTTTTAACGATATCTTTCCTACAGAAACAAAAACCCAACGATTACCATAACCTTCAATGCAATCCAATAGCAATGCTAGAACGCTGTTATGGTACAATAGTACTAAACGAAGCAATTTTAATTTTTATAAGAATCGATCAATAGAATAACATACCTTCGAGACCGTAAAACGCTTCCGGATCAATATAGCTGATTTTATTCCCATCCAATTCCAACGAATTAAGTTGAGAAAGATGTGAAAAGACTCTTGATGGTACTTCTTTCAGTTGATTATGAGCCAATCCGAGTGAATCTAAATTTTTCATCCCTATAATTAAACATATTCAATTGGGTCATCTACATACAACATTATATGTATATAATAAATCACCTTTAGAAAAGGAGTATAAATTCAAAGTTAATTTTCTTGTAAGCCACTAAACCGATTTTTATTTACGAACTTTAAATTTCGCTTTTGTTTATATACTGAGTGTACGAATGATTAAAAATTAAAAGGAATACTCACCCCCAACTACCAAAAATAATTTAAGTCTTTAACACGTGTCCGCTCAAATAAAATTATTTGTGGTAATTGGCGGGGGGGGGGGTGAGTATTCCTTTTAATTTTTAATTAATATTTACTACAGTCTCCTCTTTCTAATTTGAGTACGAATGATGAATTATTTTTTTATTTGAAACTTACAACATCCTGTGGGATGCTGCAATTATAACAGTTGGAATCTGTTGTCATCACGCTGATAAACAAACATTAATCAAACTTAAGGAGTACCTAGGTACTATAGAAAATAAAATTTCATTAAAAACACAAAGCAGGTTATTCAAAACAGTGACAACAAAGAGTAAAATTTCAACGTTTTAAAGAAACTAATAATCACTACAGCACTACAGGTGCCATGAGCAATGATGAAAACGGGGAACGGCCGTTTTATTTGATTGCAAGCTTTAATAGAACGGTCTGAAATATGTGATTGTTTTTTTTCTGGTTATTATTATATTAATGTTCTTCAATTTTTACCTAAAAGAAAATGAAACATCATAAACACATTTTGCTTCGCAAGACATCTTTTCTTATTAAGGGGTAGACCTGATTGAACATTAAACTTGGTTATTGTGCATTTGTTTTATTAATAGAGATAATAATGGGGCTACAGCATGACGTCGATAAATCTCGACTGTTTTAATAGCATCTCCCAGACTTGCAAATTTGAAAGACAAAACCTGCTGTTATTTGTATACTCTGTTTATGGTCAAACTCGAAATTTAAAAAATAACTTAAAATAAATTTAAAGAAAATGGTAAAAATAGGTTCAGAGGTTTGATTACATGTCACTTTTTTTAATGGTACACGTGACGTAAGAGTACTTATTAACATTTCGAGACAGAAAAATTTTAAAATGTCTAATTTAGAAACTTTCGCTTGACTACTAACCATGTAAACGAAGACGACCAGACGATCAATGTCAATAGGGGGAAGTAGAAATCAGTGAACAGGCAGAGTTTTATCTTTAACCACTCGTACTAGTTTTCCGTGTAACATTTCTATATTATTCAGTATTGCTAATATTCCCACAGTTCGTGATAACAAATGACCTATTATTAACAAGAAAATTAATACTTTTCAGCGTTTTACCCCTTGAAGCGTTTAAAAAAGTCTATAGATATTTTGAACAACAGAGCTTTGTTAACATGTTTTATACATATCCATATACCTCCATACATAAAAATTCCCATTATAAAAACACATGAAACTGATGACAATACAATTCATATAATGATTTTAAAACATAAAGAACAAAAAATAAAAAACTTTTATAAAATTTTTGAGAAAAAGATTTACTGTTAATAAAAAGGGAATTGAAATCGTTTAATGAAAAACTTGGAACAACTTACAAAAAACTAAAAAAGCTTAACTCGTAAAATTCTTTTTTTATTACTCTTTGCGTACAACATACACACTCCTCCTAAATACATCTTGGATAAAGACAAGAGGATATAAACGCATGCTTTTATCTTGTCATGTTTTTCATCNGCAATAAATTGTGGAATGTTGGGGAAAATATATTGTTCTTCCGTAATGTCTGAAATTACTTTCTGATGAAAAACATGACAAGATAAAAGCATGCGTTTATATCCTCTTGTCTTTATCCAAGATGTATTTAGGAGGAGTGTGTATGTTGTACGCAAAGAGTAATAAAAAAAGAATTTTACGAGTTAAGCTTTTTTAGTTTTTTGTAAGTTGTTCCAAGTTTTTCATTAAACGATTTCAATTCCCTTTTTATTAACAGTAAATCTTTTTCTCAAAAATTTTATAAAAGTTTTTTATTTTTTGTTCTTTATGTTTTAAAATCATTATATGAATTGTATTGTCATCAGTTTCATGTGTTTTTATAATGGGAATTTTTATGTATGGAGGTATATGGATATGTATAAAACATGTTAACAAAGCTCTGTTGTTCAAAATATCTATAGACTTTTTTAAACGCTTCAAGGGGTAAAACGCTGAAAAGTATTAATTTTCTTGTTAATAATAGGTCATTTGTTATCACGAACTGTGGGAATATTAGCAATACTGAATAATATAGAAGTGTTACACGGAAAACCAGTACGAGTGGTTAAGGATAAAACTTAGCTCATCCACATACAAAGGATCGAGAAGAAAATCAAATTTGCAAGATCAAGGTTTAGAAATTAAAATGCTTAATTAATTAAACTACTCCAAGAAAAGTTCTTAATTATCAGAATTATCGTCAATTCTTTTGTAAATGGGTAGCTTATTTTCAATTGAACATATTACTAACTATTTATCGATAGGTATTTTGTCTCATAAAAATAAAAAAGAAGGTTATTGGTAGATTACTTATATCTAATTTCCAGAAAATAAATTTTGAAATTTGGTTGTTTTAGAGGGTGCTCAATAAGTGTTAAATACAGCTACTGGTGGTGGATGAACTAAATTAAAATATAACATAATAAAAAGATAATGTCACTAGGTATAAAGTTTTAAAATAATTGCTGGAGAACAATGAACATCTACTTTGCCATTCAACAGCAGCTATAAAGCTTTCTGCTTATTAATTTCTCAAGATTCTAGCAAATTTAATTATATTNCAGTTCGCGATAACAAATGACCTATTATTAACAAGAAAATTAATACTTTTCAGCGTTTTACCCCTTGAAGCGTTTAAAAAAGTCTATAGATATTTTGAACAACAGAGCTTTGTTAACATGTTTTATACATATCCATATACCTCCATATATGGAAACCAAGGTCGTGGCTCATGAAATTCTTAACTACCTCTAGTGATTTAACATCGCAGACAAAGGATTGCAAATATATGTACGGTACAATTAGATATAAAATTAAAGGACTGTGCATTCAACATACATTTACAAAGAGTGCGGAACGAAACCTTTTATTTTATGCCGTTCTCGCCGTCCACGTTCTGCACTCGTACAGAGCCGTGCTCCTTTAGCAATCATTTTCTTTTCCTGTGACATTGTCCACATAACAAAAAATAAAAGATTGTCATGTAGCAAGACATCGACAACATTTTGTTCGTACGTTACTGGGATGTGTTTTATTTGTGTTATGAAAGTAATTAGCAAATTAGTTAATACCTAAATAAATTTTACAGTAATTAATTACTTCTTATAATTAGAAGCAGATACTGAAAAGGGTTTTGCAAGCAACCAATGCGATGTGTAAGTGCTAAATCATCCTTAATTTTGAGTGTTATTAGAGAAAATCAAAACCTTCGTCGAACTCAGTGAATCTGTCTAAACCGAGTTTCTTCGGAAAAAGTGAAAGGTTAATCACATTCTTATTTGATGTTTTTATCTTAAGTGTTTTTGTGAGAGAATGAGAAATTTATAAGGACAAGCAGACAAAGAGCAACAGTTGCAATAAATTGTGGAATGTTGGGGAAAATATATTGTTCTTCCGTAATGTCTGAAATTACTTTCTGATGAAAAACATGACAAGATAAAAGCATGCGTTTATATCCTCTTGTCTTTATCCAAGATGTATTTAGGAGGAGTGTGTATGTTGTACGCAAAGAGTAATAAAAAAAGAATTTTACGAGTTAAGCTTTTTTAGTTTTTTGTAAGTTGTTCCAAGTTTTTCATTAAACGATTTCAATTCCCTTTTTATTAACAGTAAATCTTTTTCTCAAAAATTTTATAAAAGTTTTTGCAATAACTTTTTTGTTTAGAAAGCAATTTTAATTAATCACATTTGATTTTTTAGGTATTTTTAAGGCATATTTCTACTATGGTATATTTTATAATTTTATCACAATATTTAAGAAACTAAAACAATTTGATTTTTTGAGCTAATTGTTAATACAAAATATTTCGGTATTTCCCCTACTTAATTCTGCTATAAAACAAAGCGGTTTCAAAATGGGCTTTCCTAAAATCAAAAACTTTTAACGATATCTTTCCTACAGAAACAAAAACCCAACGATTACCATAACCTTCAATGCAATCCAATAGCAATGCTAGAACGCTGTTATGGTACAATAGTACTAAACGAAGCAATTTTAATTTTTATAAGAATCGATCAATAGAATAACATACCTTCGAGACCGTAAAACGCTTCCGGATCAATATAGCTGATTTTATTCCCATCCAATTCCAACGAATTAAGTTGAGAAAGATGTGAAAAGACTCTTGATGGTACTTCTTTCAGTTGATTATGAGCCAATCCGAGTGAATCTAAATTTTTCATCCCTATAATTAAACATATTCAATTGGGTCATCTACATACAACATTATATGTATATAATAAATCACCTTTAGAAAAGGAGTATAAATTCAAAGTTAATTTTCTTGTAAGCCACTAAACCGATTTTTATTTACGAACTTTAAATTTCGCTTTTGTTTATATACTGAGTGTACGAATGATTAAAAATTAAAAGGAATACTCACCCCCAACTACCAAAAATAATTTAAGTCTTTAACACGTGTCCGCTCAAATAAAATTATTTGTGGTAATTTGCGGGGGG